GAAATTCTAGTTATGAATCTGGGTCTGTAACATAATTGGAGAGCAGGTTATTTTGATATCTCTAGGATTGTTTTGGATATATGGGTCCTTTTGTGCTTCCATATGCATTTTAAGGTTTTTCCTAGTTCTCTAAAGAATCTCATTGGAATTTTAATGGGTATTTTGTCAACTATATACACCAGTTTTTGGTAATATATCCATATTTACAATATTGATTTTGCTAAACCATGACTGTGAAAGTTCTTTCCATCATCTAGTATTGTCTTAAATTTCTTTCCTCAGTGACTTATAGCTTCTGTTGTTGAGCCCTTTCACTGCCTTGGTTAAGATTATTCTTTTATATTTTTAACCTACTCTGAACAGTGTTGGGAGCCAAAAGGCCAGAAGAAAAACATCTTTATGGTCTTGAGAAAAGACAGCCTTATGGTTTCCTGCAAATCTCTATGGCCTTGAGAAAAGACAGCTTTATGGTTTTCTGTAAGTTTCTATAAGATAGCACTTAGTTAAAGAATGTAGAAAAACAACTTTGTGACCCAGGCTAAGTCAGCCTTGAGAAATGTTTTATGCTCACCATAGCAGTTAGCAGATGTTCCTTTAGGATAAGAAATAAACCTCCCTAGCTATAGCATCCAATTAGCGTCTGCCCAGCACTTCCCTTCTCCTCACCTTCCCCCTCCCAACTACCAGTATATATGTCTGCTGCTTTCAAATAAAATTTTGAGGCTTGATCAGATCCTTGTCTTGCCTCCATTTCCTCGCATTCCTTGTTTGTTTCATTCCTTCAGGTTATTCTCCTGACCCCCCAACGTTGAAGCCCCGCAGGCCGGGGCAATCTGGCATAGGATTAAGCAAGGAAACATTCACAACATGGGTGCCACGAAGGAGAGGCAATGGGAAAAGTCACAGAAAACCTACTGAATTAAATAATCACTGACAACTTTCAAACCCATTAGGGTTAAATATGGTCATCCAGGTCCAGGAAGTCCATAAGCCTCCTAACAGACTTGACCAGAACACATCCTCTTTGGGATGATATGCACAAAGTCCTGGAGCAACAACCACAAAAATGCCAACCACGTACCTTATCCTTGAAAAATGAAGAAAAAAAGAGATTTTCCGAGAAAAACAGAAATCTGAGGGGTTCTTTACCAGACTGACCCTATGAGAAAAGCTTAGAGAAGTTCTACAGTAAAAAGAAAAGGGTGGTGATTACCATCACAAAAACACATGACAGTGTAAGACTCCTTTTATATATAGCAGGTGCACAAGGACGAACAAAAAGAAAGACACGGGTTTGATGGTACATGCCTATAACCCCAGCAATCAGGAGGTGGAGGTTGGAGGATTAGGAGTTCAAGGTCAACATCAGCTACATATTGAGCTGAAAGCCAGTCTGGGCTATTAGACCCTCACTCAAAAAAACAGAAAACAAAAACAAAAATGGGCTAGAGATGGCTCAGCGGTTAAGGGCACTGGCTGCTCTTGTAGAGAAGCTTAGGTGCAGTTCCCAGCACACATGATGGCTAACAACCATCTGAAACTCCAGTTCCAATGATCTGATGCCCTCTTCTGACCTCTGTGGGCATTGTACACACATAACGCATAGACATTCATGCAAACAAAACATCCACATGCAAAAAATAAAAATAAATCAATTTTTTTGTCTTTTTGAGACAGGGTCTCCCTGTAGCCCCAGCTGCCCTGGAACTCACTATGTAGACCAGGCTGGCCTTGAACTCATAGAAATCCGCCTGCCTCTGCCTCCCGAGTGCTGGGATTAAAGATGTGCGCCACCACACCCGGCTTATAAATCAATTTTTCAATCTTATTTTTTTTAATCAGGTATATAAATAACATACTGCAACACAATAGGAACTACTCCAGGAGGAATTCTGCTTGCTGGCTCACTCACTGGCTGATAGTTAGCTGACTCTATTATACAGCCCAGGACCAACTACCCAAGGAATGGTAACGCCCGCCATGCTCTGGGCCCTCGTATATCAAGATCAAGACAATCCCCGACAGACATGCCCACAAGCCAATACGATCTGGGTAATCCCTCCCAGTGAGACTTCCAGACTGTGGCAAGTTGACAGTTAAAGCTAACTAGGACAAAGGGCAGGGTGACAGTATGTTTTGGCAAATGTTTTGGCAAGTTGGCTATAGGCAACACAGACGTGATAAGTGATTAAGGAGAAATAAATGCTGATTTCCCTGATTTGAGCACTACACATAGCATAAATGTATCAAATCATCACACTACACCCTGCAAATACAGTTATCACACCTTTTTTTAAACCGCTTTCAAATAGTAAGCTGATAATAGGCACAAAAAATTCATATATTAACATGGTAGTCTAATGAGATCTTCTTAATAACAAAAGCAACTGACGTGTCAAGGTGGGTAGGGGAAATTTCATGGGGTCCCATCTCAAGATGAAGAGTTAGCAATAGATGCTGAGGGAGGGAAAATCAGTTCTCGCCAAAGCTCCCTGAGAGGTTATGTAATTCCAAGTGGGCAGCCCTAAACACAGGTACACACGAGCACCACTAAATAGATTCAGTGCAACGTGTGTGTGTGTGTGCACTGACGTGTCAAGGTGGGTAGGGGAAATTTCATGGGGTCCCATCTCAAGATGAAGAGTTAGCAATAGATGCTGAGGGAGGGAAAATCAGTTCTCGCCAAAGCTCCCTGAGAGGTTATGTAATTCCAAGTGGGCAGCCCTAAACACAGGTACACACAAGCACCACTAAATAGATTCAGTGCAACGTGTGTGTGTGTGTGTGTGTGTGTGTGTGTGTGTGTTTATAAATGTATGTATGTCTATGTAACAATAATCAAAGAAGAGGACAAGAACTTGGGGGTACATAGGAGAAGCTGGAGGGGGACTGGAAAGGGTGGAACTCGTGCAAATACAATACTCAAATATAAACTTATCAAAAATAAATTCATACATTAATAAACTTTTTCTTTTAAAAGTAAAGAAATGTGTATTTTAGGTCAACATCAATGCCTCCAATTCAAGGAGTTTAGAGTCTACCTGTTCGTCCACTGCTCATCAGTCCTCTCCCTGGCCCATAACCTCAGGCTTCACCCATGTACCAGCCAGAGTGAGAGGACTGACTTACGGGGCACGCTGTACTTCTGGAGGCAGTAAGCCAGCTCCATAGGGTGCACCGCTTTCTGCCGGCTGTCTTGCATTTTCTCCAGCAGCAGAAGCAGCTGGAAGGGGATGCTTCTCTTCTGCTCCTCTGCTTCCCATGGCACCGTTATCCTGCCAGGTAAGAAAGCCAGGCATCTCCTTATACTATGTCCACAGTGCTCCAACCTGATGCACACTGAAATCACCCAAGGAACTTCAAAAACTCTCCATGTCCAGGCCACTCCCCTCAAAAATTAAATCCAAATTGTGGAAACGGGTAGATTTACGTATGCACTCAAAGTTGAGAACTGCCATGTCAGTGACAGGTCTGTGCAAAATACACTGTTAAAAAGGGGAATACAGCTAGAGAGATGGCTTAATGGTTAAGAGCACAATCTACTGTTCCAAAGGACCCAGGTTCAATTTCTAACACCCGGACTTCATTGGTTTGGGGCTGGAGAGATGGCTCAGCAGTTAAGAACACTGGTTGTTCTCGCAGAAGACCTGGGTTCGAATCCCAGCACCCACATGGCAGCTAACAACTGTCCATAACTCCAGTTCCAGGGGATCTGACGGCCTCTTCTGACCTCCGCAAGCATTGCAGGACACAAGTGCACTTACCTACATGCAGGCATAACACTCATACACATAAAATAAAAATAATAAATAAAATATTTTTAAAAGGGAGGACCAACACAAGGACTGCCTCAGCACCCCCAAGCCTGCCCAACACTACAACGTTCCAGGCTCACACTAGAGCAAGTCTCTGAATGTCCAGCCCGGGGAACTTCACATAGAAAAAGCAAATACTGAGTTAGTTCCTGGGAAGAAAGGGCAACATGAAGGATGACAGTGTGTTTGGCAATGGTTTACTTAGGCATAGGCAACTCTCTGTGCTTGTGGATGGGGGGCAAGGAAAAAGCATGGGACAAAAAGAACGAGTGAGTGATAAAGTGCCTGTGTCTGTGTGTTTCCATTTAGCCCCATTGCTTTCCTCTGATATCAGTGTGGTCCCAATTCCCTTTTAACCAGACCAGTGGCTATCAACCATGGTTGCACTTTCAAAGCATCTGAGGAGTCTTTTTTTTTTTTACACCCACTTCCCAGGTAGCACCCTCCCATAGCCTCCCTCCCCCCACTAGAGCCCTTATACTCTGATGCTACTGTCTGCTGTGTTGTTGGCACCCCCAGCCATTCCCCACTACTTGCCCTTCTGGTGAATCTAGTCAGCCTATCTAGAGGTCTTTGTTTTAGGAGGATCAGCTGTTCCTCAATGGTTATGCCAGACCCAAACCAACTGAAACCAAACAGCTGGAGGCAGAAGCAAGCATTTATGTCTTTTTATTTTATTTTGTTTTTTAATTTATTATTTTTATGTGTATGAGTGTTTTGCCTGCATATATGTAAGGGCACCTGGGTCATGCAATGCCCACGGAGGTCAGAAGAGGGCACTGAATCCCCTGGAACTGGAGTTAGAGACAGTTGTTAGCTGCTATGTGGGTGCCGGAAATTGAACCCGGGTCCTCTACAAGAGCAGCCAGTGCTCTTCACCACTGAGCTATCTCTCCAGCCCCCAGTATTTTAAAACTTTGTAGATGAGTCTAACAATCAATTCAGTATATGCAGGAAAAGATCTTTTCTATGGCAACTTTTGAACGAAGATTGCCAAAAGTCAAAATCACTGTGAACAAATGAATATTCAAAACATAGAATAATCTGCATGTTTATCAGTCAAAATAATATCGTACCTCTTCAATATCTTTGTGAAGTCTACATTCATCATGAATACCTGAATCAGGGAGTTAAGGCAGCAGGTCTGTCCAATGTTGTGTAAACCAACCAGGCCTGTAAAATAAAGAAAAAAAAAAAATACTGAAAGCAAAGTATAGCAGTGAACGAAAATCAAGTGCTTTTCCTGAGTTTACAGAGGACAGGAAATTCTGGGAAATACTCTCACAGGTACAGAGAAGTCACCAGGGAGCTTCAAACAATTTGGAGAGGAGTTACCAAACATCAGCTTTTGAAAAGTTAAGTGACAGAGCAAGTTTTAATAATGCATTAGAAAAGAGAGACATCACAGAAAAGTATTGCTCATTGACAAATGAGTATCGAAGTTATTAGAAGAAAAAATATAAAATAAACACTAAAACACATCCTGGGGAATTACAGTTTCCTCTCGTGTTACAGTTCTGAACAGCTGAATCAGAACAGGCCTTGGGGTGGTTCAGGGATCAGCACAGTGCTATCTGGTCCATATTAGCCCCTGAGAATGGGTCCCTACCCAGTCCCCATCACAGAAATGGAGGAAATCAGAAGAGTGCTGTGGAGAAGACCTCCCCCCCCCCAATCCCTAAACTCAAGCCAGGAGGCAGAAAGCCAGAAACAACTTTCAATGACATGAGAAAACCGAAAATGACATTTCTTTGACACACTGGCAACCAGCCTCCCTTTCCCACCCCAAACAGAGGCTCAACTGACCCCAAAGGTTGAATGGCTGAAGAGGCCCCCAAATCTCAGAGTTCCTAAGCAAAGAGCTTCTGAGACAGCAAGGCAAATGGAAAACTCCAGGGGCAAGGGGTTTCTGCTCCCAGATCAGCAGGGTACCTACTAAGTAGCCAGAAGCGGCTAGAAAGACAAACTAGAGCTGAGAGCTCCGGCAAACTCTGCCAACTCCCGGACAGTGCTAAACAAATCTCATCTACACAGTGAGAAGCAAGGGTAGGGGCACTAATGACCATGAGGGTGGTCCCAGGTGCTGGAATGTTCTCTAGCCAGCTCTCTCTTCATCTTCTTCTCTTCCTCCTCCTCCAGGTCTGAATACTGCTGAGACTTGGCCAGGACTGACTGGCAGGCCTTCCTCAGGACCCCAAAACCCTTGCCCATTAGTGATCACATCAGAAATCTCAGGCTGAGGCTGCCTGGTGCTCAGGATTCCAGGGCTTCACTTCCAGGAAGAGTCCCCACCAGCCAGGTGCTACGGAAGCTCTGTGGAAACAGAACAGCGGGTAAGAACAGAGAGGTTCTCTCCAGTTAGCTCTGACTCCTTAGAGGGAGACAGCCTTTGAAGAGACTGGCTCAGGAAACTCTAAGGCTAGAATTAACTATAAGTGGAACTTTTCCAACCCTTATGCCTCCACCATGCCATGTGTCCTTCCTCAGAGCGGATGTCCTAACACTGATCATCCTCTTCCCCCAGGGTTCTCTGTCTTAGTAAATAGTTCAGACATTTAGGAAATGTCTCTTCACTCTCAACCGTTAACAGTCACCAAGGGTGTCAACTGCATTGACTGAAGACTGCTCACAAGCAAACTCCTTGGTCTCCATGTCCTTGTCCTCCTGGGACATGCCTGCTGCCCTCTAAGTTCCCTCCTCTGGGAAGCTTATCCCAGGACCTCAGGAAGGCTTGGATGTTGCCTATGCTTCAAGCACTTTGTAGTAGAGCTAGTCCAATGATAACATGAGGACCAGGTGCCTCTACTTAAGTGGAAGTTGGGGGTTATTGCTTAGGTTTCTTCTTCAGCACAGATGCTCCTTCCCAGGCCCAGAGGACAACTGAGTCCCTTTGACGCAAACCAAGGGTTCATGCACACAACAAAATTGTCTTATGAGAACATGTACTACTCCTCTTTGTTCTTCCTTCCTCCCAACAACACAGACGTCAGCCACCTGTAAATTCTCCCAAACATTGTTTGGGATGGTAGGAGTGTGTCTCAAGAAAAAAAAGTGGGGGAGGGGGGTCACCTGCCTGCTTCTCTTGGGTATGCCTGGAGAGCTGCAACACCCCACCAGACCCAGCAGTCAGCAGACAACTGGGGATGAATGTGAAAGTGGGAAATGCCCAGCTATTCTGGGTGCCACATGCCCTTTGATTCCTATAGCGTCCCCTCTTCCAGTATCCTCATCCTCCATCTAGCCACAGATCTAAGTTGCAGCACACACCACACTGCGCTCTCTCTGTCTCCTCTCCAGTCAGAGCATGCACATGAGAATTCTCCACATTCCCTCTTTCCCCAGGCAAGTGAATCGGACCCCCTGGGGCCCCTTTGCCATGAAGCACTAAATCAACCAGATTCAGCTGGGACCTTCTCAATTAGATTTTTAGTGAGAAAGTACCAAATCAAAGTGAGCAAAGGTAAGATTCTTTTTTTTTTTCCTTCGTGTGTGTGTGTGTGTGTGTGTGTGTGTGTGTTAGTGTGCACTCATGTATGTATTTGCATTTGGATATGTGGGGGCACACATGCATGCACATGTATGTGTGTGTGCATTTGGGGGCCTGAGGCTGGTGTTGGGTGTCTTCATTGAGTGGTTCTACCTCATTCATTGAAGCAGGTCTTTCAGTTGAACCCATGGCTTGCCAGTACAGGCTAGTTGGGCTAGCCAGCTTGCTCCAGGAATCCCGTCTCTGCCTTTTAAGCGCTGGAATTACAGGGGAACTGCCATGCCCACCTGGCATTTACATGGGTGTTAGGGATCTAAAATCCTACCCTCATACTGGCCCAAACAGCTTTTCCCCCAGCCCAAACGTATAATTCTTTTTAACTTTTTCTTAATTATGCGTGTCTCTATGTGGGTTTGTACATATGAGTGCAGTGTACTCAGAGGCCAGAAGAGGGTTTTAGAACCCCCTAGAGCAGGAGTTACAGGCAGTTGTGAGCCACCCAGGGTGGGTGATGGTAACTGAACCAGCTCCTCTGCAAAAGCAATATACAATCACTGCACTCTTTCTCCAGCCCCCCAAAGAGTAAATCTTTTTTAAATTATGTATATGAGTGTTTTGCCTGCATGAATGTAAATACACCACCTGCATGCAAAGCCCATGGAGGCCAAAAAGAGCATCAGATTCCCTGGAATTGGAATTACAAAGGTTCTTAGTGGCCATGTGGGTGCTGGGAATTGAACCTAAGTCCTCTGGAAGAGCAGCCAGTACTCTCAAATGCTGAGTCATCTCTCCAGCCCCTGAAAGGTGAGATTCTTAATCCATGTGGCCACATGTCTTGTACTAGTTTATAGACTGGCCAATGCAGTGTAAGAGGCCATTCAGGACTCAGTGGCTAAATAAAGTGACCTAAGTCTGATTATGTTTTAAAGGTATATTACGTGGAAGAAGTGAGTGTGTAACAGTTTATTAAAGACAAGACAAGACCCTGTTGGAGAGATGACTCGGGTTAAGAGCACTGGCTGCTCTCACAGAGCACCTGGGTTTGGGTTCCAGTAACCAACTGGCAGTTAACAACCGTCCATAACTCCAGTTCTAAGGGATCCAATGCCCTCTTCTGGCCTTTGAGGGTAGTGTACACACACAGTATACCTATATACATCTAGGCAAAATACTCATGCACATAAAATAAAAATAAATGCAGCAAAATTTTTTTCATTAAAAAATAAAGACAGGACAGAAGGGTATAGGTGTTAAGGATCTTAAGCCAGGCATAGTTCTACACACCAGTGATTCCAGCACTTGAGAAGCTGAGGAAGGGGACTGGTAAGTCTGAGGTCCACTTGGGCTACAGAGTGAGAGCCTATTGAGAGGCAGGGTGTCTCCCTATTGGCTAGTTCTTCCAATGGGCGGGGCCTGACGTGGAATGTGGACTACAAAGGGGCTGCTGAGAGCCATCTTGGGACAGAAGCAGGCAGCCCCAGGTAGCGTGCTTGTGGTGCAGCCAGTTGCTCAGCAGCTGAAGGACAGAACAGACTGACTCTTGTAGACCAGGGCGTGAATTGATGCTAGCGGTGACTATGGGCATGGCACGGTCTGATACGGCAGGCTCTGAGTCGCAGCGCCAGGCTAGGCACTGGGTACTCATTCCTTTGTAAGTTAATAAACTCACATAAAAAATATTATATGGTTTGCCTTATAATATATTATATGATCATGCAGGAGACCCAGAGGGAATTCAGGCCACAAAACAGGTGTAGTCTGGCCGGATAAAGGAACTACAGCCTTGGGGATGTGGGCCTCAGAAAGCAGTGCTGTTCCCTGCTGCCCCTGCAGTGGGTCACCTGGGCTCTGAGTCCCAAATCCAGGAGAGAAACCTATCAAAACCTATGTGCTTAATGGAGTTAGGGATAGTCATATGGGTTATACAATGGATCATAAAATCTGTAACTAAAAAGAGGCCAGCCACACAGAAGCATGGGCCACAGCTATGTTGTAAATGTGGGGATATGCTGCGGGTATGTGAAGATTTGTTAAAGGTTAAAAGTTACCCGAAGGCTAGAAAATCTTTTACCTGCTCTGGACCCAAATGGGAGAGAGAGAGAGAGAGAGAGAGAGAGAGACCACTTTGCATCATAAAGGATGTGTTCCAGGCAGGGAGAGCTGAAAAGGCTGAGCTAGCAGACCCAATTGCAGAGCTGGAGAGAGAAAAAAGATGGGACACTTTGACTTGTGTAAAGTCCAAGGACTCAGAGGAAAAGACAGATAATAGTAAAAAGGGAAAAAAAAAAAAAAAAAAAAGCTAACTGTGCTGTGGATAGGAAATAGTCCATGCTAGAACTGTTAAAACTAGGAAAAACTTACAAGCAAGCAAGCAGAGAGCCTCTGGCCATGTGGCTTGTGAGAGTATGGCACATGGGAGCAAATGAAATCAGTCTAAGTCCTTCAGAAGCTTCACAGCTGAGTTATAAAACCACCCATCCGTCCTTGTGATACAGGCTGTTCAACCTAGGCCAATGCAGGGGTGAGCAGTCCTTAATGGGTGGCTGGTTGAAGGCATTAAAGATACATGGTCGTCACCAAGGGAGACTAACATGATTAGCAGGGGCTGGAGGAC